GTTGAAATAAATACTATAAAATTCGTTACGTCATTTTGAGGCGTAGGATTAAATTTCATAATTTTCGGACTTGGTTTGGTAGGTAAACGAGCCGGTCAAATGCGTTGACCGGTCGTAGCGATCTTTAGTTGACTGAGTTAGGAGTTGACTTTTGACTTGAGATGTTGACCATAGACTATATATATATTTAGGATGTTATGTTTCAATTTTCGTAATTTTTGGATGTTGTTTGACTTAGTTATAAAAATCGAGACTTTAGATATTAATGCCGTAAAAATAAAATATTAGATTGATTGAGACTTTAGCTGCAGTTGTGGATTATAAATTTATTATAAATCACATAGAATATATATATTAATTATCGGCCTTAAATGAGTTAGGATTTTTGAGAAATCAAAACCCTAGTTTTATCCGGTTTCGATAACCGGGTATTTTTCCGGATCCGATTATAATTGTTTGAACCCTAGTACCGTCTAGATAATCTTTGACCGTCGTATCGTAATTCGTAATGTGTATCATCGTCTCGTGCCCGTGATCGCCTCTCGTCCGACCGTTGGAGCTGAGCCGCCGAGTGCGTGCCCGTGCACCGAGTCCCTCCGACTTGCCGTCTACGCGTCGTTCTGTTAGCCGTGGTCCAAGCACGCCCCTGCGTCAGTGACCGTGGCACCGATCAACTCATGCATCGGCTAAGTCGTGTCAGTCGAGTTCGTGCCGGCCCGAGTCGCCACGCCGAACTCGGACCACGGTCATACCGAGCTGCACATAGTCAAGCGAATGACCGACCGACTCCGAGTGAGCCGTCGGTCCAGTTCAGTCGAACTGGTCCGGTCAGCCGGACTGTTCGATATATATTTCAGATAAAATGTCAGATAAATTTCAGATGCAGTCAGATTAAGATTTCAGATAAAGTTAAGAATTTCAGATAGATTTAAGATTCAGATATAGTTTAGATTTCAGTCAGATTCTAGTCCCAGACATATAAATATTTCAGAGAACTCTAGAATGCCTCAACGACGATAATATTTTCAAAATCAGCTCGTAATCCCAAAATGATTTTTAAAGCCGAGTGAGTGAACCTAGATATATAAGATATTAAAGATTTGAGATTTTATTCTGAGCCTAGTACTTAGAATATTTCGCTCAATATATTTTGTAGCTTGAGGAGAATCGAGCCTCCATCAGCTACCCATTCAGATATATTCAGCATTCGCTTTTCGCCAGTTTCCAGGTGGGGACCACGTACTGTGTATTTCATCGCTTTTAATAATTTACCATGCCTGATATCTATATGCGATTAAATTGAAGGACTGAGACGGATGAGTGATCCCGTCTTGGTCAATATTTCAGTATTTCAGTTATGACTTGGATGTGTGTGATTAGGGCCCGTCCTAAGTCTAGCGTCCAGATGGGGTGATTAGTGCCTTTCCTGGATTTCTGTGGGAGGGGACCCCCAGAGTGTGCACATGAGTACCAGTTTACCGTTAGTCCCATAGTCAGACCAGTTTATTCATATATATGTTGATTCCATAGTTTATTATTAATTGTGCTGAGTATTCAGTGCCGGTTCCGGCGGAGCACCGTTGATTCCTTTGTGCTCACGCCTCCCCACTACCCTATTTTTCAGGTGATGGAGTCCTGCGTGGAGCGTGAGCAGTTATGTGGTGTTGGTCCAGCTTCAGGACATTTTTGTGAAAACATGTCATATTGTATTTGAACGTGTTGAATTATCTATGTCTGTCTTATGTTTTGTGTGTGCTTTCCGAACTATTTCTGCTTCCGCATATTAGACCTGTGTTTCAGATGTCAGATTTCAGTCTAGTATTTCAGATTTTAAATTATGTCAGATTTTCAGAATATGCATGATTAATCCAGTATTATTCATGGCCTTAATTCTAGAATGGATTTTACTTGGTCGCATGCATGTTAGATTAAAGAGATTAAAGATATAAGATTAAAGTTGAGTAGCACCCCGTGTTTTAAAGTTAAAGTAATTTCGAAAAATTAATATGAGTTTTCGAAAATTAAATAAGTGCTTTCCAATTATAGCGCGAAAAATTTACTCTGATTTTAGTAAGTTTTAGGCGGGATGTTACAAATACAGTTACGAACAAGCCTAGTTCATGCGAGTCTATTTCGACCGACCCCTTCCCTTTCGGTTCTAAGAGTCGATTAATAATCCTAGAAGATGGTTAATCAACTAGTCTATATAGAGTTAACAATATCACGCGAGAACGAATCAAATTCAATCAAATCAATTGCAAATTGAAGTGTCACCCTTCAATAATTCTCAACATTCAAGCATAAATCGAAAACCTAATTAAGAAAGAATCGCATAAATTGAACAATCTTGAGCCCGACAATCACAAACGATTCAAAACATCGATCCCCTATTCCCTAGCATACAAATTTAGCTACTCATAATCGAGCTATCAACGAAAGTAATCACAACTGAAGAACTCATAATTAACGATTAAATGAAAAAAGATTCTTACAATCGATAAATCCCAACGTTGACAAACAAGCTTAATCTGAAAGAAATAGCGAAACCCGTGTTCGAATCCTTGTTCGCAATGAAAAACGATGGAAGACGAAAGTAAAAACGAGAGAGAAAATATGAGAGATAGGGTTTGTATTTTTGTTGCGTGAAAAGAATAATAATCCAGTCGCGATCGATCTTATTTATAGTTCACGACATCTCGGCGCGACAATGAAGCTTCACGGCGCGACACGGAGTGTCCTGGGCAGCAGCTTCACGGCGCGGAAGGTCTTCGCGGCGCGACAGGTCTCTCCTTCCCGGTGCGAGGCTGCACAGCGGTGCGGCAAAGCGGGTCTTCATGGCGTGGGACTGCACAACGGCGCGACATGATCCCTCTTCACGGCGCGGGAGGTCTCGCTAGCTGCACTGGGGAGAAAAGCATGGCAGACGCCGCGACGTGCTGTCTGCCGCGGCGCGAGGGAGCAATATCTGTCCTCTGTCCAACTTGTGGCAGTTGCACGGCGCGATGGTGGGACTTGTGACCTCTGACCGTGTTGTGGCATCGGCGCGGCGCGGCACAGCACCTGGGAGTCTCGTCGGTTTAGTCGCACAACTTCACGTTTTAGGCTCGTATACGCTCATCTCGACTCCAAATCTGATTCCCTTTTTTTCAGTGTAATGCCCACGACGTCCTCTATTTGAATACGCTGTCCCGACTAATATTTTCCCGAAATCCTAATCTCTTGAGACTTCTAACCTGCACACCAATAACGAAAAACCGGAAAAAGAATGAAAAACACAAGGAAGACCAAAATAAAGAACACGAAATAAACTACTTAACGACCTAAAAACCAATTAAAAGACTTAAAATGGGGGAAAAATGAAGACTAAAAGACAATGAAAAATGCAACAAAAATGGGACAAACACATTTGATGTTGAATTGTGAGAGAGCCAAAAAGGTATGGAGCTGGGCTTTCTTGGAATATTTTAGAACAACAGAAGTTAACATTTTAGGATTGGTGGAAAGAGCTATGCAACATGAACAAAATTGGAGGGCAACAAGGACATGATAACACTTTCTACTTATCTATTGTTGTGGATGTGGATGGCAAGAAATGCTTGGGTATTTAAAAGAATACATACATCAGACATCTAGGTGGTGGAGGGTGCAAAGCTTGAGTGGATTGAGTTAATGAGAACTTAGGAGAATCAGAATTGAAGATAAGAAAATGATGTTGAGATCTCATATGAGCCAGATTCAATTCTATTTCATTCTGAACTCGTTATGAGGATATGGAAGCAAGGTCTTGCTACCAGTGCTACCAATGTTACTGACTCATAAACAACCTACTGAAAAGTGAAAGGTTTAGTCTGGATTGGCGAGTCCTCTATGTATAGCAGGTATAATTCTAGGAGTGTGCAACAACAACACTCAATGGAAGGCACATTGGTGGAGCTACGAGTTTGGTTGACAAAGGTGTTGGGGTTGGAGTGGCAGGAGGTGGTGTGGGAATGCAGGGATAAAACTTTGTTCCAGATCATTTTTGCGGTGTTGTAGTGGTAGCTGATAATATTTGTTCTCTTCTACCTTTGTTTAAGTTTTTTTCTATTGTGTTTTGTTGTTTTTGATCACTATATACATCTTGAGTTTGACTTGTATAAAATTGATGTTTGAGAAAAAAAAAAAAGATATTTATAATTGAATATTTTGATGTATTACTATTATTATTATTTCTGTCAACCAAATAATATTATATTATAACTTTTACTATTATATGATAATTTATATTGTTTTAAGTTTTCAATACAATAACAATTTTGCCTTTCTCCATTAACGGATTATGTACCACTTTTAAAAGAAAAGCACCTTTAATTATTTTCTAACAAACTAATAATACAGCGATGGTCATTGAACTCAGGCAATGACTTGAGCGCGTGACTACAGTCGCAACAACTTCTATCCACAACAAAGGCCCGCTGCCCCGCCATAGCTGTCTTCACATAAGCGCATTTAATGTTTCTCTGTAAAGCCCACCCCACCCCTCTTAAGAGCCAACCGGAAAAGGTGGTACCCGACCAATTCGTGCAAGTACCTTACGAAGACCAATTTGTACACTGATGTACAACTTGCGTTGGGTTGTCAAAGGGCCCGAAACTCTTTGGAATTGCATGCCCAGCTTAGGAAGATAACGGGTGAGAGATGTAAAAGCAAAGGACTATTGAGGAAGATATGAATAAAGAAAAGCCGTGTGAAAAATGGAGATGGCATTTCAACTAACACATGCAATTCGGAGTGAAAACAGCGACCGCCATTAATGCAAAGCTCAACCGTATAGTTACTGACAGCATTAATGGAGCACAACCAACAATGACAGCCCGAGAATTCATCTTTACTCGTCTCCGCACTGCCAGATGTGTTTTTAATTTTCCCTTCCCTTTTCTTTTCACTGCTGAAGGTCAATTGAATCGAATGCGCTGCGAAAAGGAGAACAGAAATTGAGAAAAAATAAGAGAAAGAGGTTGATGTGGGGCACGGCGGAGAATATGTCGGCGCGTTCGGAGTCGTTCAGGGAGGATGGGGATGACGAGGAGGCGCTGCGGTGGGCGGCGCTGGAGCGGCTGCCGACTTACCGACGCGTGAGGCGGGGAATATTTCGCAACATGGTCGGCGAGTCCAAGGAGGTCGACGTCCATAAGCTGCAAGCACAGGAGCAGAAAATCGTTCTGGATCGGCTCATTAACTCGGTCGATGACGACTGGGAGAAATTCTTCTCCCGCGTGAGGCGTCGATTTGAGCGGTCAGTGTTTATTT